TTCCGGTTCGACATAATGAAGATCTCCAAAATCAAGATTTGGAAAAGGAACTTCCTTGGTCTGTTCAATCTCATCATCCATATGATAGCCCACACGCGAAAGCATTTTTGCTTTTGCAGGCCCATCTTATAGGGACCAAATTGGCAATAGCTGATTATGTTACAGACACATTTTCGGTTTTAGATCAAGCAATTCGTATTTTACAGGTAAAATTGAACATCAGATTTTCGGTCATCTTTGTACATAAAATATTTCTAATTTTTTTTTTCACCTTTCTTAGTCAATTATTGATATCACTGTCGAAAATAACATGTTGACAACATGTCTTCACACCATGTCATTATTACAATGCATTAAGCAGTCGTGTTGGCCCGAGAATTCATCATTGCTGAATCTTCCTGGAATTGAAGATCATATGATTAGTTCAATTCTTCATGAGGTACTATTTATTGAATGGAATCGATCTTATGATTCTTCTATATGGATTTGCTAATTTTTAATATTTTAAATGTTTCAGGGAAATGTAGTCGCATGCCTAGGCGAATTATTGGACCTTTCAGGAGAGGAGTTGTTTAAAATTTTCAAAAACGTTAACGGACTTTCCGAACCTGATGTAGAAAAGGTACGTTTCATTTGTTTGATATGTATAGTAACGTTGTGTCATTGCATGAGATCAAATCAATAATTTTAATTAAATTTTTTATGATGATTTCATAGATTTGTAAAGTCGTCAACAATATTCCTCTGATGGATGTTAGTTTTCACAAAATTAATCATGCTTTGACTCCAAAGGAGGAGATCAATTTTGTAGTTTCTTTGAAAAGAGTAAAGAATTTTTCAGGGTATGATGGTAAAGTTTACGCTCCTAGATTTCCAAAACCACAATATGAATCATGGTGGTTGGTATTTGGAGATAAATCAAACGATAGCATAATCGAAATGAAAAGGATTAACATGCGTAATGGACCTTTTGGAGAATTTTCTAATGAACATACTTCCAAATTGAAGTTGACTGCACCAGAGAGGGAAGGAAAATATCAATATACGATATTCCTTATTAGTGATGGCTACTTAGGAATAGATCAACAATATGACGTTGAATTTCATGTTAAAGATGTTAAAGTCGTTAAAGAGATGAACTGATAAATGGAAGGAATTTGTCATTTATTTCATTATGTTTAATAATTTATAGCTACTATTTATTTTTAATTTTTCTTTTTTTCTTTAGAAAATTAATGCATTTAAAAAAATAATAATAAGTGATAAATTAATAATAATATACATTTTTAATTATAATCAAAAAAATTATTTTTTGTAATCGTCAAGATTACTTGAATAAGATAATGTAGAAAAGGTGTTAAACTATACTACTATAATCTTTTATTTTATTTTATAATACATTTAACGTGTTTAATCTTTTTTTTTTTAAAAAAAATACCAATAATATCAAACTCTCCACCCAAAGATTTAATAATATAAAAATATCGAGGTAACAAATGCTAAATTACAAAAAAAAAAAAAAATAAAAATAAAATAAAAAATAAATAAAAAAAATAAATGAATAAATAATAAATACAATTAAAAAAAAATAATAATAATAATTTTAATGTATTTTCTAATGAAAATAAATAATATCTAAGAAAAAAATAAAAAATTCTGTTTTTCTTCACCAAAACTAAATTTCTTCACATTTGATAGTAAACTTGCTGACCAGACAATGAAGTTGAACTATGCCTTGCATTGCCATAATACTGTGAAGGGTTATTATTACAATATACAGATTGTGGATGTTGTTGATGTGTTGTAAAATTTTGTTGTATTTGTCTTGTATTAGGTTGTTGATGATGTTGTTGTAACGATGGAGAATGTTGAGATCCTGAGGGAGATTGATTTGAAATTATTTGTGTTGAAGAAATAGATGGTTGAAAGGCGGGACGTATTGATTGTGATGAATAAGTTGACATATTATTGGGTCTTTGAGAATAATATACATTAGTTACCATGGGCTGTTCAGGTACAGTATTATTATTAGCGACTTGCCCAGGCCTGACATGAGGAGTGAAATCATAAAATTAGAATTTGTAATCTATCATCATTTTAATTCTACTTGATAAATATTATTAATTACGACTTACAAAACCCTTGTATATATTTTTGGAAATATTCCAATTTTGTCGGTTCCTCGAATTCTACCTTTCCACCAATCCATATTTACTAAAAACAAATTGAATTAATAAAAGTTATCAAAATACAGGAACACAATCATAATTAGAAAACTTACCATATTCAACCACTTCTATGATATCACCTTTCCTAAAACTTAAATCTCCACTATCAACACCTAATAAAAAAAAAAAATAAAATAAATGATAAAATATAACTAATCAATACCATAATAATAATAATAATTGTCATAATAATAAGTAAACGAGTAAACAATCGTTTCGCTAACCTCTAAAGTCCCACAAGGCTTCAACGAGTGAAATACTATATGCTGGCAGCACGGATTCCCGCTTTGGTTTACGATTCATAGACTTTTCGTATTCTGCCTCTTCCTGTTTATTATTAAATACTGGTAGTACTTGAGGACATGGGGGAGATGAACCGGATGAATTCGGTGGATGAGGTAAAGGTCTAGTTGCAATGATAGCTCCTGTATTTGAAATCGAACTTGCAGCTGAGCTAGGTTGTGAATGGTGACCAACTTGTTGAGAGCTAGATACGCGAGAAGGTAAATCCGGTCTCGACATTATCGATTGGTACTCGATTTGTGATTGGTCAGGAATCCTAACTTCCCGATTCTGCATTAAATGTGGTAAAGGAGGAGGAGTGCTTAATAACGGGGGCGTTTCTCGAAATGGTGATATGGATCTTAGTTGTGCTGATATTTGTTGCGATTGTCGTTGATTTTCATCGTCTTCAAGTTTTTGTTGTACTGAAGGATACATTGGTTGTTCTTGCGAAATCTGAGATGATGCTGAAAGTGGTCTTTGCGGTATAGAAGTAATTGAATTATGTTTTTTCGAAGTATCGGATTTTACAGAAACGTCTGAAGATTCAGAACGTACTGGTGAAGTAGGTGAAGGAGCTGGAGGAGGTGTGTGAGGAGCCGCATGAAAGATTGGCTTAGGTAACCTTTCCACTATTTCATCAAAGGCAATTGATGAGATACAACCTTGTTGACGAAGAAATTCTAAATCTCTAGTAACATTTTGAACTATATGTGAAACGTAAGGTTCAATTCCAGAAACTTTGCTGATTACAGAAGTTTTCATTGAAGGATTAACTGAGGTATATGAGGCATCCGGTGGAGGAGAATTGCTTGCATACATTTATTTCAAAAAGGAAAAAAAAAAATCACTTTACTAGTGACTAAATAATTCAAAACTGAAAAGTAATAATAGTAAGTAGGTAGGTAGGTAAGTAAGTAAGTAACGAAATTTAATAAAAGGAAGAAAACTGTTTATTTTACAAGAATATAAAAATTTTTAGAAGAGGAAAAAGAAAAAAGAATAAAATTTTTTTGGCGGCGACGTTTCTCTATATAAAAGAGAAAAAAAACACCATAACAAAAGGGAATTTCTAAATAGCCAAGTTGAGTCGCACAAAAAAAAATTCGATGGAAATTACTTTCCGATAAAACCTCGCCACACATTTTCCATTTTTGGATAAGGAGCCACGCTTTTTTCATTATTAAGAATCATTACATATTTGTTTTTCTCCGAAACGCATCAAAGAAAGTTTTTTATTAATATAATTACACAAAAGAATTTCTTTCGAATGATAACTATTTTTGCACTTGGAGGAAATGGACGGATTTTCCATGGTTAACGATTCATGATTAATAATGGAGTAAACAAAATTCATGCAAAGCTTGTCAAAAAAATCAGTGTACGAAAGAAGATCTGTAAGGTAAACTGTGCCAATACCTTTCATAAGATATCCTTTTGTTTTTTCGTCATAAAGTAATAAAAAAAATTCTTAATTATGAAATTCATTTCAAGATACTAAGATTATTCAAAGAATTTTTTTTTTTTTTTTTTTAAGGTTTATAACTGATCCAAATAAGATTGAACAGAACAGGAAATCATTGTGTTAATGGGGACAACTCTCTGGAATTTCTATGAAATTGCATATGTTCATTCGTAATACCCTTTCAATATATTGATTAATCGATTATGTAAATACTAAGTGCAGAATCTTGAAAATTACTAGTAGCACAATCGAGAATGTCTACTTTATGTTTCGTTCATTGAGTTTCTAACATCGTACAGTACATATTAACATGCGATATACATATACATATAAAGAAAGAAAAAAAATATATTTTTTTTATTTTATTGTCAAAAATCTCGTGAAATAACATATGAAATAAGATGGAATTTTAAAAAAGTTATTAAAATCAATATAGAGTCTTTGTTAAACAATCAAAGAATTCAACAATATCCCTTTGATGAAATTCTACAACGAATCACTGAATATATGCTAAAGAAACTTTTTTATGGATGCATAGTATATCAATTGGTCTTTTATGCCAAAACACATAATTCCATCGTTTCAGTCGTTAATCTAAAATTTATATATAAATATTTTGTTTATTTTTTTTAGCAAATAAATAAATTTTCTGATCATAAGCGTTCGACGTGAACAATCTTTTGTATCTGTTTTGTAAAATAAATACACACTCCCTCTAATTAATTTGTGAAATACAGTGCAAAGTCGGAAATTCTAATGTTGTGATACATCCCACTCATGAAAATAGACATCAATGGATACCAAAAAGTATGATAAAAAAAAAAAAGCACAAAAAAATAATTCACGTCAATATTAAAAAAAAAATATTTGGGTCGATTGTTAGAAAAATCAGGTTCCAAACTAAAATTAGAATAATTGAGAATGAATGATCATAGTTCTTATTTCAAACTTGGTCATTGGCATATAAGCTAAGCCATATATCAATTAACAATAACGGTCGGCAATACATTATGATATTGGTTCGTTAATTTTAATATCCGTTGATTGTTCCATATTTTATAAATATAATTATTTCACAAGTGTTATGCAAAACTTTGGATCTTAACACAGTTACACATGAATACATTTTTCGGTTGTGACTTCAGAGCTGCAAACTATTCATTAGCATCACAATGTGAAGTTACTCAATTATAAATAAATAATATTCTTTAATCTTTAATTTAATATTTATAATATCGAAAGAATTTTTTTTCACGAAATGATGTAAACAAAAGCCCTTTTCCTGTTCCAGTTAGTCAAAATATTTACTGGTTAGTGGAGGGCGCAGAAATGATGTCAAATAAGAAAATAATCACGTGATAATACTTTTGGTAAATAATAGGTTTAATTTATGGCAGTATTGCAGGTTTGGCCATTAGTCCTAAAAAAATCCAAATTCTAAATAAGTATTGATACATTTATTATTACCTAGTTATTTATCATCCAATACTGATTTATGTTATTTTAATGAATTCAGATTATTTAATATAAAGCAAGTTATTAATTTTAATTAAAATTTGAGTCAAATAATTTATTTCAAAAAATCATTACATATTGTTAAAGTTAATTTGAAATGTAATATAATCCTGATTCTAAAATAATAAATTTTTTACTCTATTTATTTTATATTTATTCATTGTTATATAGTTGTAACTTTTTGACCAATAGATTAATTTACATATTTGAATTCTTCTTTATAATCTTCTGACTTTTTTAATATATTAAGATTTTACTAAAATCTTTATAAAAGTATTTAAGTAATACTTATTATAATTAAAAGCTGATTACTAAAGTATTCTAATATATGCAATAGATTTAAAAAAAATTGCTTATCTTATTCTTATATAATAGAAGAAAAAAATGTTATAAAAGTATTAGAATTTATAATAATTTACAATAATTCTAATTATTATATTTTTATAAATTAAAAAAATATTTACAAATTTGCAAATAGTAATCAATTTAATTTTATTTTACTTTTTAATATTTAAATAAAATATAATTATATTTTTAAATATATATGATCATAATAATGATTATTACCTATAAATTCACAAAATTCATATGACTTTAAAAAATTATAAATTAAAAATAAAACAATGATTTAAAAATTTAAACTAATAAAATTA